TCAAATATTGCCTTTCATGCAGTGTGTAATGTAGCTGTATGTGAATGTAAACGATTGGCAAAGTTGTAAAGCTGAAAGTGCACGATAAATAAAGTTTTTCTCCCAAAATAAAGAATCAACTCTGAACAGTTGAAACGAGTCGTTAGTAATTAGAATCCCACTTCCGTGATGGCTACACGTCACGGGGTAACACATTTGCATAATGCGCGCCTATGTTCTACATTGGCTGGCTGTGAACAACTTGACCCTGCCCACAAACACGCCATTCTACTGACCACTGCTTCTCTAATCTCAGGGAGTTCAATGTGGGATTCACAAAAAAGAAAGATGGATCAGTATCCTGTTTATTTGGACCAGCTGCTCCACTGAATCACAACCTGTAAATATGATAAATAATTAGGGTTGGGTATCGAGAACCGGTTCCAAATTTCCAATAATCGGGTATTCGATAAGACATGTGCATTTCGATTCTGCTTAACGATTCCCGCGTTCGCATTTTAATGTGATTTTTAAACTATTTAAGTGCAGGAAGGGAAAGGACTTGCACACTGTTTGCATGCAGCGCACACATCTGAAGCGCGAGCACAGAGAACAGTGGTCCCGATGCAGGTTCCCGACCTGTGTCTGTTCTCGAATTGTTCCGTGCATTTCCACAAAGGTTGTTCCGGGCCAGAACTGACTTCTCTTTTACATTTATCGACCAGTATGCACGAAATACGTCAGTATATCATCATAAACACAGCCATTTTTTTTTGTCTTTAGTGAACGTAAACGGATGAGAAAGAAAACGCATGTCTAACAGTATTTTTAGATCTGTGTGTGTTCGGTGTTAAAGAGACAGCCGTCTAATAAACGTGCTGCCTATCATTCAAAGAACAAAAGAAAATCATTAACTGACCGTAAATTTAATGAGGATTAATCAATATTTTATTTATGAAAAGAAAACTACAGTGTTTTGTCTGTACCTGACATTTGTTCAGTTTTATGTATTTATGCTATTGCTAATTAATTTGTTTACTTGTCTTTAACAATTTAATGTTTGAAATTTATATTAGTCTAGTTGTTTTTTTCTGTGGTATTTTTTTGATAAAACCATAGACATAAAACCGAATAAATATGTTTGACATCTAAATGTTTGACTTAATTTGTTTAATGGATTTTTTTTTATCTTATTGGAATCGGAATCGATAAAATTCAAATGATACCCAACCCTATAAATAATAAATGTTTCTATAGATAGTTCAAAATACAGAACTATTGAAATAGGCGTATCGTTTCCGGCACACGCTGTACGCCGTAGACCAATCACAACAGACTAGGCCATCTGACCAATCAGAACAGAGCAGAAAATGAGTTAATATTAAATGCATATTCTGAGAAAACGAAAGCGTTTTTGACCTTGCATTCATGTAATCCTGTAGGAGACTTCCAAAACAATATTAGAAACCGTAAAAATGACATAATAGGGGCATTTTAAGAACGTTCACAACACAAAGCTCCTTCCCCAGTCCACTTATTCAATTTATAAAAACTAAGCTGTAAAAACAGGCCAGCAAACATCAATATGCGGTTATAAATTTTTTACGTTAGGAGTCTTAAAGGTACAGCATCAAAAATAGTTTGTTGTCAGACTGCCAGTTAGAGAATCAAAAATGTAAAAATGTTTTATTGGCAGATACTGGCTGTTTATTGTTGACAGTGAATGTTTAATTGCCTGTTTTAATATTTAGCTATTTAGCTATTTATGAATAGATGGCAATAGATAATAGATTTGTAAATAGGACACGTAACAAGTTGGTATCTAAATTCATATTAATATAGAAACTATTTTAGGTTTTTGTTTTCTTCTTTTTTTAGTAAGTAGTAAAGATTTATAATATCAGCCATTTATCAGTTAGTAGTCGTAAAATTAATCTAGTTATTGGTTTATCAGAAGAGATGTTGTCATGAAAAAAAAAATGCTACAGTTTAGATTAGAACAATGTGAATATGCCCTTGAAGTTGAGATAGTGAAATGTACTGAATGATATATAGACTTGGGAGAAAGTAATGGCAGATTGTGATGCACCCTCAAAAGCATCTCATTATGCATGAATAATGAATATTCATACACATGGTTATGGCTATTTGATTCAGAACCACCTAAACGGTTTAAATGATGATGGAAATATCCTCAGACAAGAGAATGACTTCATATCTGCATTACACCAGACACATCTGTACATTGAACTAGCTTTCTCTGTGTTTTTATTTCATTGATTCATATTGTTCATATTGAGTATGTTTTATACAATGTTGTCATGTTAGCACATGTTCCAGCACAAGTGGTGGTGATTTTAAATATGTAAACTTAATTTGAGCTCAAGGCTGGTCTGAAATCCATCCACAAGTGCAGAGCTCCGTTCAGTATCTCGTGACAAAATGGGCAAAGACAGATGAAGTGCTGAAAATGAAACTATTTCCTGGTCTAATCCGACAAGGTTGCACAAGGATCCATGTCTTTGGGGAGGGCTGGAAGATTTGTCTTTCTTTGCCCCCCCTCCTGGATCTGCCTAGCAGTTCCTGTAACATAATCCTCCTTTACGGCAGCACTTATCTGTTGATCCATGCACAGGTATAGGGTTATAACTCTGCATGCTACACCTAGTGGAACAACGGAGTATGATGTTCACTTGAGTCGCTCAAAACTGGTAGTCCTCTTGACTCCAAGCGTTTGTCCTTTCATGTCTAACAGTATTTTTAGATCTGTGTGTGTTCGGTGTTAAAGAGACAGCCGTCTAATAAACGTGCTGCCTATCATTCAAAGAACAAAAGAAAATCATTAACTGACCGTAAATTTAATGAGGATTAATCAATATTTTATTTATGAAAAGAAAACTACAGTGTTTTGTCTGTACCTGACATTTGTTCAGTTTTATGTATTTATGCTATTGCTAATTAATTTGTTTACTTGTCTTTAACAATTTAATGTTTGAAATTTATATTAGTCTAGTTGTTTTTTTCTGTGGTATTTTTTTGATAAAACCATAGACATAAAACCGAATAAATATGTTTGACATCTAAATGTTTGACTTAAAATTTGTTTAATGGATTTTTTTTATCTTATTGGAATCGGAATCGATAAAATTCAAATGATACCCAACCCTATAAATAATAAATGTTTCTATAGATAGTTCAAAATACAGAACTATTGAAATAGGCGTATCGTTTCCGGCACACGCTGTACGCCGTAGACCAATCACAACAGACTAGGCCATCTGACCAATCAGAACAGAGCAGAAAATGAGTTAATATTAAATGCATATTCTGAGAAAACGAAAGCGTTTTTGACCTTGCATTCATGTAATCCTGTAGGAGACTTCCAAAACAATATTAGAAACCGTAAAAATTACATAATAGGGGCATTTTAAGAACGTTCACAACACAAAGCTCCTTCCCCAGTCCACTTATTCAATTTATAAAAACTAAGCTGTAAAAACAGGCCAGCAAACATCAATATGCGGTTATAAATTTTTTACGTTAGGAGTCTTAAAGGTACAGCATCAAAAATAGTTTGTTGTCAGACTGCCAGTTAGAGAATCAAAAACGTTTGTAATATATATTGGCAGATACTGGCTGTTTATTGTTGACAGTGAATGTTTAATTGCCTGTTTTAATATTTAGCTATTTATATCCCTTTGAATAGATGGCAATAGATAATAGATTTGTAAATAGGACACGTAACAAGTTGGTATCTAAATTCATATTAATATAGAAACTATTTTAGGTTTTTGTTTTCTTCTTTTTTTAGTAAGTAGTAAAGATTTATAATATCAGCCATTTATCAGTTAGTAGTCGTAAAATTAATCTAGTTATTGGTTTATCAGAAGAGATGTTGTCATGAAAAAAAAAATGCTACAGTTTAGATTAGAACAATGTGAATATGCCCTTGAAGTTGAGATAGTGAAATGTACTGAATGATATATAGACTTGGGAGAAAGTAATGGCAGATTGTGATGCACCCTCAAAAGCATCTCATTATGCATGAATAATGAATATTCATACACATGGTTATGGCTATTTGATTCAGAACCACCTAAACGGTTTAAATGATGATGGAAATATCCTCAGACAAGAGAATGACTTCATATCTGCATTACACCAGACACATCTGTACATTGAACTAGCTTTCTCTGTGTTTTTATTTCATTGATTCATATTGTTCATATTGAGTATGTTTTATACAATGTTGTCATGTTAGCACATGTTCCAGCACAAGTGGTGGTGATTTTAAATATGTAAACTTAATTTGAGCTCAAGGCTGGTCTGAAATCCATCCACAAGTGCAGAGCTCCGTTCAGTATCTCGTGACAAAATGGGCAAAGACAGATGAAGTGCTGAAAATGAAACTATTTCCTGGTCTAATCCGACAAGGTTGCACAAGGATCCATGTCTTTGGGGAGGGCTGGAAGATTTGTCTTTCTTTGCCCCCCCTCCTGGATCTGCCTAGCAGTTCCTGTAACATAATCCTCCTTTACGGCAGCACTTATCTGTTGATCCATGCACAGGTATAGGGTTATAACTCTGCATGCTACACCTAGTGGAACAACGGAGTATGATGTTCACTTGAGTCGCTCAAAACTGGTAGTCCTCTTGACTCCAAGCGTTTGTCCTTTTGTGCACCAAGTTACTAAGAGCCTCTTGAAATAATTACATGGTTGTCCATCACTTAAGCATTGTGGTTCTTTTTAGCTCTGGCTTAGTTTTGTAGGGTTTTTGGTTAAAGGAAACTGATATGTTTTCTGCCTTTGCGTGTTTATCTTGAGTAATAAACCCAAGTAATTTGTGCAATAATTTGCAGTCTGGAAATTCTGCAAACATTATTTAATACATTTCTGATTTACAATTAATTAGCACTTAATAGTTGTTAGCAGTGTATTCCATTCACATGCTCTAGATTGCTCCAAGGGTATGGTCTCTGTCAGCTAAATAACTAATTGGTTTTTCTCTTGTGTCCACAGGCCCAGCTCAACATCTTGGTTGTCCTGCATCGTCTAGCGGAGGAGTCCAGGGTGAAGGCCTTTGAGGAGAAATCGGCAACCATCAAAGTTCACCACATCCGAGCTGTTGCGAAGGTATCCAACACCACCATAATAATTAAGCTAATTAAAAGAGGCCTCTAAACTGCATTAGCTCAACGTAGCTCTATGTAGAAACTAAAGCTTTCAAGCAATATCAAGTAGCTGAAAATATTTACATATTTTATTTTTGCTCTGCAAAAATCAATATTATACATTTATATAGTAGATTTATTATATAATTAATATTCATATTAAGATTTATTATTAAGAATATTAATTTTATTACATTATATTAATTATTCTGAAGCATTTTGAAGTATTTATAGTTATTTTTGGTCATTGTTAAATATGTTACAAGGCATGACTGTTAAAATTGTCTTTAAATGTGCACGCCGTATATCTTTATTTTCCCCTAAATCAAGTGAACATGATCCTATGGACAAAATATTCTGCTTTCCTTTTGTTTTAGAACCTTTTGTTCTGGACAGTATGGTCTCTCATGTACACATTTAGTTATGTTTATTATTTTGTAAGGATAGAAAGTGACTTGTTTTTATCTCTGGTCCATGCACTTTTAAACTATCAGACCAAATGTACTTCCAACTTCCCTCCTTTACGCTTCAGTTGATTTGTTTTAGCCTGAGGTCCAACAAAGTGTTGAGGCAGTGATGTTCTCTAACAAGCACAGTGGGTACCTGAGATTGGCTGGGTTAGGTTTCCAATGGATATTAATATAATCTGGCTGCATTGTTAGCAGATGTCACCCATGGACTCTCTATTGATCATCTCAACAGTATGTGTTACAGCAATCAATTTGTTCATTAGTGAACTGCCAAGAGCTACATTAGGTGAATGGCAGCTTATCTCCAGGTCCAGTTTGTTAATGGTGCAGCCTGTTTTTTAGAGTGAGACTGGATGAGTTCATATCGGTGCTCACAAATGGAAAGAAATTGGCAGCTGTGTGCACCCTGTGCTGATTATGATAGATTCTATTATGACTTTAAATACCATGCTGGAGTGCATGGAATTTTGTTTTTAAAATAATTAGAATAAAACCGTACAAAAACACACTCCCAGTCACCCGATCATGTCCAGGTCAAAAAAAGATATTATATTTTCCATAAGGAATGGAGGCCTAAATTTAGGACCATTCGAACTTTTTCCACTTACACATTGTTTTCTTGACAAATTTAAGCGGTTCAACCCAAATTCTGAAAGAAAAAAAAACAATTATTGACCCAGACATGTGCTTGACAGGCTTTGTGGCATTCACTGAAGTGAGTGAATCCTTGGCAATCCACTTTTTTTTTTAACAGACTAAATATTCAGGAATGAAAGCATGTGTCTGAAGTTTAATCATAAATGCAATCCATGCTTTGGCAGAGTTGCTGTGTTGATTGCTGTTAGATCTAGTTTAGATGGTGTTTTACTGTAGATTAGGCCCAGCTGAATCTCCTGTGATTTTTATTTATTTATTCATCTATTGTTTTGAGGCTCATGCCCTGCATGACCTGAAAAAGGAATTAAGGCAGCAAACGAACACACTCGTATTGCAGCCAGAATCCGGCTACATCATCTTGCAGCCACCCCTTTGATGGATATTTTCTCCAGCGCTATAGATCTGAATGGGGCAACACATCAAATGAGTCACAATAACACTGAACAGAGATCCGGCCAGTTTTCGTGCTAGTCATCGTGCTGCATTTATTTTCACGAGGACAGGCAGCTTATTTGATTAAGATGTAATTGTGTGCAGAGTGCTCCTTGTACAGATGCACTTAAGCAGCAGGGGCATGAAATATGCTATGCTTGTTCCAAATCAAGAGCGTAGTCATGATGGCTTGTCACAACTAAACATGTTAGGAATTACATGCTTTACAGAGTTCAGGCGCAGACTGGTTCGGCATGGCTGCCTTTGAAAAAAAACAGGTGTTTAATCTAGAGCTCTGCCATGGTAAATGGGAATTTGAGTGGGGAAAAAAAAGGGCATAACTGAGAAACTGGGTGTTTCTAAACGATATAGGCTATTAGTAGTTTCTGTAAATCAGGGGTCAGCAACCTTTTGTACATAAAGTGCATTTTTAGTTTCACTGTAAATCACAATTTTACAATTTCACTGTAATAACACTATATATATATATATATATATATATATATATATATATATATATATGCGCATATAGGAAGCATAACTACTGTAAATTGACATTGCACATGCAAGAGTCCTTTTTAAAATACAAAAATGAAATAAATACACTGTGGCTATTGCTCGCATGCCAGTGATTATCCCTTCACGTCACGTGTCAATGGTGATCTAAATAATTGTATTTCTTCCCTTTGTTGTTACAGAAACTGTTAAAGAGCACACGAGGATGACGGGAGCTCCCCATCCCACCCCTTTATTTGTTCAACAGCGTTCACCCTGTGACCTAAAATGTACTTAAAGTCTTCATTATGTGTGAGCTACGGTATAGAGCACACAACAGATATGGACTGTAGAAGATGAACATTTTACTTGTTTTCTTTACTTAGAACTTTTACGTCTACAATTGAATTTATGTTGCCTTGTCTCAGCATTGGGCCCATTATTAGGCTGTGATCCACGATCAATTTCTCTTCAAGACTGTTGAACTTTTGCTTCTCTTTGTGTGTAAATCATATATGATGGACAGTATCTAGTTCAGATATCTAAAGCAACACACGTGTCCCTCTTCTCTTTGGATCGTATTATGTCTTAATACCTGTTAATAAACAATTTGTACCACTTAACTTGGGTAAAACATGATTGAGTAACCGTGCAGTGTTTCTTTCCTCGCTCTGTAAAGCAACAAGATATTTGGCTCTCAGCCATCGACAACATTGGGACCATTATCTTTCACTTGCTCACAAAAGCAGGTTCACTCAGATGATATTTCACTTTCCTGTGTTGACTCAGTATCAGATGGATGTCTTGTAATGAGATAATCATTTTTATTTCAAATTTAATTACTAATATCTGACTGACCTATAAGAAAATACATAAACTCTGTTAAGAACATGGCCAGGGCACCTTAAAATCATCTTAAAAATGAGTAAATCAGTGCAAAATTAAAGAGCAGGTCATATGCTATTTTAAAGTGTCCTAATATTGTCCTATACATTTTTTTTGCTCTGGAGGGTTACTTGTAAAAAAAGATGCTATAAGGTTACAAAATTGGCATCGATATTGCCTAATCAATTCGAGCCCGAGTCCGAGGATTATACCGATGCAGTCGCTCAACCAGAAACTCCATCGCAAGCTAGACTTGATCAGGATGTTTCTCAGTGGTAAGTTTAAACTTTGTATGTGGTACTTTACATGATGTGACATTATACAATTACATTTTAAAATGTCATTTATTCCTGTGATGCAAAACTGAAATGTTAGCAGCCATTACTCCAGTCTTCAGTGTCACATGATGAAGTAAAGAAAAGAAAAACATCTTACTGACCCCAGAATATTGAATGGTAATGTATGGAGTGTCACTAACTGATCACCTCAGGTGTCAGTCAGTACTGTGCTTGCATCTGCTCCATGCTTCTTGCCCATGTTGTGTGGGATCAAAGGGCCTGACCCCAGGACCAATGGAAAGTAAATGTTTGGGTCTCGCTTTTCGGGTGTATACCACCGATGATCACATGACCTGGGAGTCACCCTCCTCTAATCCTTCTGTCAGAATTAATTGAGCTGCCAGGGATTGAGCAGCGTAGTGTTTGTACTTTCTGCCCGCCTTTGAGTTTTGAGAAGAGTTGTCTGTAGATAACAGTATAATGTTCTCCAGAACCTCTAAGTCCACCTTTATCTTTGTCTTTCATGTACAACATCATCATCCTCTTCATCCTCAACCAAGGAATGGTGCCATTTATTCTTCAGCTTTTCCATCATGGCCTTTCTTGAAGCTGCTGTTTGTGAAGTAGATGTGTATCTTTTACAGGAGCAGACTGTGGGAACAGTGATTATTTACCTTGTCACACAAGACCAGAAGAGGACAACAGTGAGAATACATGCAACATGGAAGCTTTTTTTTTCCTCATTGGATGATGTTAAAAATGGCTGCAACAAATGCAAATACAACTTTTGGCCTTTTAAAAACATTTCCCATAGTCCATAGATATCCAAACATCCAGAACTGCCATAAAGTGTTGGGGGTTATTATCATTATTAACATCTCTTGTATGTGTTGATGCTATATAGAATATGCCGTGGGGTTTTTTCACTTTCTATTTTTTTTATGGATGTAGAGTATAAATTAGCGACACGTACGCATTGTCTAAACTTGTGGTCATAATGAAGATTTAGTTATTAATATAGAATAGTTCACTTTTTAGATAGAATAAGTTGGAAAGGGACTAATTGTTTTTGCCTTTATTGTAAAATGAAGACAAAAAGCCGCTTGAGACACACGTATTCTTATTTTACCAAAAGTCTGCATTACCATTAGTAACACAACAACTCAATTTTGCATCTGCTGAAAGGCGACTGCTTTCAAACGCTCTTGTGCATGTTTGTGTGCGTGCTATGGTTTTTATTTATTAGGGCAAAGGTTTGTATTTACTGTGTGTATTTGCACTGTTTAGGTTAGCCTATCATAGGCATGTTTTCTGAAAGCAATGGCCAATCAGAAATCTGGCAGGGTACATCAATGATTGTCTCGAAAGAGCAGTGGAAACGGACGAGTTCTACGAGAGATTTGCAGTTTAGTAGAAATGGGGTATCATATAGTTCTTCCATCAAGTAGTATGTTTGAAAATTTGACGAAACTTGATGCGAGTCTTGAAAGTCATGTTAGTGACCAGCTTCATCAAAGAGTCTAGAGTCCTTCAAAGAAATAAGTAATGTATGCCTTTCTATCAGAATTTCTTTGTTCTTCGTAAAAGGGAACTTCACACTATTGACGTGTCTTTGCAAACACCTCAGGGTTTTGTGACTCATGTAGGGTTGAGCTAATGGAACTGCTCCTGCCATTGCAGTGGGGTCTGGTCCTCTTGGGGAGATGATCCTTCTGCTTCCCAGCCCAAACCAGCTTCAGGAGCCAAACGCTTCCTATATGCCCTCTCTGAAGTAGTGTGACAGTGATGCCAAGCTGACCCTCTGTGGCATTGCAGTTTGTGATAGGGATTCCTCATCCCCACCTGCTTGTGTTACCCAGTGGTCTGCACTGACCTTGGCGTTAAAAAGCCCAGCAGGGACATGATTTAACAGGGCCCCAGGCCCTCTGATGTCATGCAGGATGTACATGTGCCGGGTGGGTGCCAGGCAAAGGTTAGTCTTTTACTTAACTGTGGCTTGCAAAGCACTTAGCTTTTATTATGGAGTTGGAAACACACCTTCACTTGCCAAAACATGTGGCACGATGCATTGGAAAGAAGTTCACTATGGTTAAATACATGTGACGTTTCTCTGCCATGAAACATCGATCATTTGGGGTGTTTAAGGCAGTGCTGGTTTCTCAAAACACTTTTTTTTAAAACTCAATGTGGTTTACAACGTTTATTGCAGATTTTCCAGTCTTTTCTTTTTTTTGATCTCGCACCATCTCAAGCCTCCATCCCAGAGCCTTACGAGATTGGCTGTTATTGTTTTAATTTAGTTTTTACATCCATTTTATTTTCGGTTTAGTTTTTTTTTGTTGTTGTTGTTTTTACTGCTATTACTGTTGTAGTTTAATTGTAGTATTTTCATTGTTTTCTAGTTTATTTATTTATTATTTTTTAACTTTATTTGTAGTTTTAGTATTGCTATTTTTATTAAAATTGTTAAACTAAACCAAATTAACACAATTGCTAAATTGGTTATTGCTATCTGGTGGCATTTGCAGGTTGATTGTAAAGGTTTCAAATTTTAAAACATCTATATACAGCTAAAATTAATTCATGTTCATTATTTATTTTATTCTACTTGGTGTTGATATATAAATTGTATATATAAATTGCTGTGATTTTCTTCCATCATGGCCTTTCTTGAAGCTGCTGTTTGTGAAGTAGATGTGTATCTTTTACAGGAGCAGACTGTGGGAACAGTGATTATTATTTACCTTGTCACACAAGACCAGAAGAGGACAACAGTGAGAATACATGCAACATGGAAGCTTTTTTTTTTCCTCATTGGATGATGTTAAAAATGGCTGCAACAAATGCAAATACAACTTTTGGCCTTTTAAAAACATTTCCCATAGTCCATAGATATCCAAACATCCAGAACTGCCATAAAGTGTTGGGGGTTATTATCATTATTAACATCTCTTGTATGTGTTGATGCTATATAGAATATGCCGTGGGGTTTTTTCACTTTCTATTTTTTTTATGGATGTAGAGTATAAATTAGCGACACGTACGCATTGTCTAAACTTGTGGTCATAATGAAGATTTAGTTATTAATATAGAATAGTTCACTTTTTAGATAGAATAAGTTGGAAAGGGACTAATTGTTTTTGCCTTTATTGTAAAATGAAGACAAAAAGCCGCTTGAGACACACGTATTCTTATTTTACCAAAAGTCTGCATTACCATTAGTAACACAACAACTCAATTTTGCATCTGCTGAAAGGCGACTGCTTTCAAACGCTCTTGTGCATGTTTGTGTGCGTGCTATGGTTTTTATTTATTAGGGCAAAGGTTTGTATTTACTGTGTGTATTTGCACTGTTTAGGTTAGCCTATCATAGGCATGTTTTCTGAAAGCAATGGCCAATCAGAAATCTGGCAGGGTACATCAATGATTGTCTCGAAAGAGCAGTGGAAACGGACGAGTTCTACGAGAGATTTGCAGTTTAGTAGAAATGGGGTATCATACAGTTCTTCCATCAAGTAGTATGTTTGAAAATTTGACGAAACTTGATGCGAGTCTTGAAAGTCATGTTAGTGACCAGCTTCATCAAAGAGTCTAGAGTCCTTCAAAGAAATAAGTAATGTATGCCTTTCTATCAGAATTTCTTTGTTCTTCGTAAAAGGGAACTTCACACTATTGACGTGTCTTTGCAAACACCTCAGGGTTTTGTGACTCATGTAGGGTTGAGCTAATGGAACTGCTCCTGCCATTGCAGTGGGGTCTGGTCCTCTTGGGGAGATGATCCTTCTGCTTCCCAGCCCAAACCAGCTTCAGGAGCCAAACGCTTCCTATATGCCCTCTCTGAAGTAGTGTGACAGTGATGCCAAGCTGACCCTCTGTGGCATTGCAGTTTGTGATAGGGATTCCTCATCCCCACCTGCTTGTGTTACCCAGTGGTCTGCACTGACCTTGGCGTTAAAAAGCCCAGCAGGGACATGATTTAACAGGGCCCCAGGCCCTCTGATGTCATGCAGGATGTACATGTGCCGGGTGGGTGCCAGGCAAAGGTTAGTCTTTTACTTAACTGTGGCTTGCAAAGCACTTAGCTTTTATTATGGAGTTGGAAACACACCTTCACTTGCCAAAACATGTGGCACGATGCATTGGAAAGAAGTTCACTATGGTTAAATACATGTGACGTTTCTCTGCCATGAAACATCGATCATTTGGGGTGTTTAAGGCAGTGCTGGTTTCTCAAAACACTTTTTTTTAAAACTCAATGTGGTTTACAACGTTTATTGCAGATTTTCCAGTCTTTTCTTTTTTTTGATCTCGCACCATCTCAAGCCTCCATCCCAGAGCCTTACGAGATTGGCTGTTATTGTTTTAATTTAGTTTTTACATCCATTTTATTTTCGGTTTAGTTTTTTTTTGTTGTTGTTGTTTTTACTGCTATTACTGTTGTAGTTTAATTGTAGTATTTTCATTGTTTTCTAGTTTAT